TTAGCAACAAGCTTTTTGAAATAGTGACCTTTCCAATAGACAAAAGGTTGAATTTAAAATCAGGCACATACAACACATGGTATAAGCTAAAGGAAGAAGTTAACTGCACTCTGCCAACAATGTTGACAGATTTAATTGTTCCATCGGGTAAAGTAACTAGAATTGGTTTCTTTAGATTTCTAGTTTTGGTTAAGAGGTTAAGGTGAGGAGTCATATGTTCAGAGGCCCCAGTGTCAATGATCCAATCATTTAGACTATTTTCTTCATAATTCAAACAAGTCATAGCGAGGGCAGGATTATAGCTACCTGCAAAGTTTACTGAGGCATTGTCTTCTTGTTTGCTGCCACCATCACTTCCATTTCTGAACTGAAGTAGTTTGATCAGCTCATGACAAACATCAGTTATGGCATTAGCATTTGTCCCTCCAATATCAGACTCCAATTCCAAAGGATATCCAGCAAGATTTCAGAACAGTTAGCTAATTGAGCAGTAGCTTTAGAGTTGATCCCCTTCTTCTTACCCTTATACCAATCAGGGTATCCGATTCTCTCAAAACATTGGTCGTAGGTATGACCTTCACTCTTACAGTGTTTACAGAACTTCCTTGTAGTGTCCTTGTTTTTGACAAATCTGGATTTATTAAATCCAGAGGATTGTCCCCCATTACCTTGATTAATGAAGAAAGCAACAGATTCAACTCCTTGTCTTGTTATTTGCTTCTGTTTTTCAACTTGTTGAACAACATAATATGCTCTGTCTATGTTTGGTAAAGGATCTGCAGCAAGGAGTTGCCCTCTCACATTGTCAAATTCATCATTCAATTTCATTAAAAATTGAATTAGCTTAGTAGTTTCTTGTCTTGTCTTCAGTTTTTCAGTCAAGTCACAAGTGCATTTTCCACAGCTACAAATAGGATAGGCATGTACGCTATCTAACTCTTCCCAACATCTCTCAAGTTTGGTAAAAAAGGTGGCCACAGAAGAAGTTCCTTGTTCAATCTGATGTATTACCCTTTCCAGATGATAAATATGTGAAGCATTACTATGACCAAATCTTTTATTCAATTGATTCCATAATAAGTGAGATGATCTAGCGTAAATGAAAGCAGCTTTCAATTATGGAGATAAGGAATTAAGAATCCAACCTTTTACGGTATAATCTGCCCTAATCCACCGATGATAATCTGTGGAGGTCTCAGCAGGTTTGCTGATGCTTCCATCGATGAATCCAAGTTTCATCTTGGCACCGAAGGCCATTTCGACCTGCATCTTCCAAGTGAGAAAATTTTTTCCCCCAAAGGTTAGATTCGTAAGACTCAGGCCTGGATGTTCTGAGCTTGAGACGTATAGCGGATCATTGTGCAGATCCACCAATGACATAACCGAACCAGCGCTTCCACCCTCTGTAATGCTATTTCTGTTGTTCCCAGTACATCTGGAGTTGTCACCATTGTTTTCCATCAGATTTCCAATTGCACTTCGAAATCGCGCTCTGATACCATATAGAAACAGAACGAGGGAAAAATTGTATTTCTATGCACCAGATAATGGAATAATCATAAAACGTCAATGGAAGTGAAGAGAAAAGGAATTATAAACTGATCTGCAACTAACTCTACTTATAAATGGTTTCTCTGTCTATAAAATGGGTTTCTAAAGAATATAAAATGTATAATGTTTCTTTATTTGATAAAACATGTTTCTCTATGTTCTTCAAATATAAGGATATTCTTTTATGTTAAGTATAATGACGTAAAAGGTAAATGTGACCAGGCGGATGGAGGAAGTATTATTTTTTATTACAAAATATCATGTTTAAATTAATAATTAAATAAGAAAAAAATTAGAAGCAATATATATATAACTATTCAACAAAAGCTTCAAGAATAAAATTTGTCTCTCCTTCTAAAATGATTGATTAGAACTCAACTAAAAAACATAATATTAAATACACAATATTGAAGTATTAACCACTTCGAAATTTATAAAAAAAAAAATTAAATTTTCTAAATAAAATATAAATAATATAAATAATAAAAGACATCTTACACAATATGTTAATATATTTTAAAAAAAACACATATTATAAAATATAATATAAAATTAGCAAATATTCATAATCTCCTTTAGAATAATTCGTCTTTTACGGCCATGAAATGCTTTTCTTTTTTTTTTTTCTTTTTTTTTTTTCCTTTTTTTTTTTGGAAGATGGGCAAGAAGATGATGATGCCGCCGTAAAATGTTAAGATATTCTTTTATTCTCGTTGGATGCACAATAGAAGAAGTAATGATAAAGTGTAATATAAATTTATAAGAGATTAGAATTATGATAATTAAAAAAAATATAATCAATTTCAATATTTAGAAAAAAAAAAAAAATGAATCCAAAAATGAGGAAACATAATAATTCATTTTAATTATATTAATTACAAATTTAAATGAGAATTAAGAAAATATTAAATTAACTATAAGATCACTAAAAAAATTTAAAAAATATTACTTACGAATATAATTAGCATTAATTACGGATTCTATAACACAACTTTTCTAATTCATAAAATACAACTTATAATTACAAAATAAATTACTAATGAAAATACAAAAAATATATATGTATTTAATATCATATTTATTTTAACATATAGTTTTATACTCCCCGTCCCAGCTAATTTGTCCACTTTAGTTGAGATACGTAGTTTTAAGTATTATATAATTAGTAAGTAATTAAAAAGGTGTATTTGGTAAAAATAATTATAATACAATAAATATAATTATAAATTAAGATTAAAATTACTAAATAGTTTAATTAAGATAAAAAATTATAAATTATGAATTTTAAAATATGATTAGAATATATAATTATATTTTCGAAAAATAAAATAATAAATTATATGTGACAAACAAAATTAGAAAAAATGAATAAATTATGTGAGACGAGGGTATTAATTACTAAGAATATATTTAGTTATATATTTTAAGATTTTAAATAATAATTTTATTATCTAAGCACAATCACGAAGTAAAATATATGCTTACAAAAATTGCGATTATATAAAATAAACTTAATACATTTTGAAATATCAAAAAATATATATTGTTAAAATATGTAACTTATTTTTTGCTTTTTCTTTTTAGATTTTTTTTTTAAAGAAAATTCTAAGTTATTTTTTGCTGCAGATATGAGATTACTTTTACATGAAACCTTGAATAATAAAATTTTTAATTGAAATAGTTTTGCATAAAATTTAATTAGATATTTTACTAAATTAAGGTTTTTTTTTTTTAGTGTTTTGATTTGAATTTTTTTTTAATGTGAAATATATGGAATTGTATCGGTAATATAAAAAAATATATTTTATATTTAATATTATTTTTGTAAAAAAATAAAATATACATATCGAAAATTGTGTAGGAAAAAAAATTGGAAAACAAACTCCAAAATTTTAAATTTTTTGATTTTACAGAGGTGTTTGTTTGTTTTTGTAAAATAATTTGAAGGGATATGTTTTTTAATATAAAATATAAAAAATTATGTAAAACTGTGATATTGTCTTTTCAGTTTTTACTATAAAAAGAACTTATTATTTTTAATAAGAAACAAAGTTATCAAAATTTATTACATTTATCAAGAATTTATTATGTTCAACAATAAATTAATTAATTAAAACTATTCAAAAAAATTTTAAATTTCAAAATTTTAAAGTTTAAATTTAACATAAATTATCTATAAATATATTTAAATTTAATTAATCAAACTTTTCATATTCAATTAAACAAAATAACTAGTGAAAATATTGATTTTTTTAATAAATTTTTAAATTAAATTATTGGACAGATTTCACAATAAAATAATAATTTATAATAATTGTAAATTTTATAATTTAATAAATATATTACTCCATCTGTCTCACATAATTTGTCTATATTTTTTATTTTCGTCTGTTTCACGTAACTTGTCCTTTCTTTTTTTGGAAATATAATTATACACTTTAATTACATTTTAAACTTTATATTTTATAATTTTTTTAATCTAAATTAAAATATTTAGTTATCTTAATCTTAATCTTAATTTATAATTATTTTTACTATATAATAATTATTTTTATTAATACACTTTTTAATTACTTACCAATTATACTTTACCTAAATTATCATATCTACGGTAACACGTCCAAATTATCTAGGACGGAGAGAGTATTAATTATAATTTCAATAATTATATCAATAAATATTATAAAATTAGATAATATCAATGGTAAGCTATTAATTATATTAATATAATTTTTAATTTTAAAAATAACATTATAATACTTGTAACTATTGTAAATTTTAGAATTTAATAAATATATTTACTAATTATGATTCCATAACTATGTTAATTATAATACTCCCCGTCTCATATAATATGAGTGTATATATGCGAGAATTTAGTTAAAGTATAATCAGTAAGTAATTAAAAAATATATTGGTAAAAATAATTATTATATAGTAAAAATAATTATAGATTAAAATTAAAATAATTAAATAGTTTAATTAAAATTAAATAAAATTAAAATTTAAAATTTAAAATTTAATTAAAATATATAATTATATTTTTAAAAAATAAATGATAAATGATGTGGAGGGACGAAAATAGAAGAAAAGGACATCATACGTGACTGACAAAAAAAAAAAAAAAAATAGACATTATAAGAGTACATTATGGGTGTGTTTGTTTGGGAGTTTGGATTTTGAGTTGGGATTTGAATAGTAAAAATTATAAATTTAAATAGTTGTATGATGTGATATAAATAGGTGTTGATTTGATATTTTGAATGTAAAATTGATTTTTAATATAATATAAAAAATGAAAAATATATATTTAATTTGATATTTTAGAGGAAAAAATTGAATGAATAGTGTAAGTCCAATTCAAACTCCCAAACAAACACACCCTATTGATGGTAAGTTATTAAGTATATTATATATATATATATATATTCTCCTCTGACAAAGCAGAAATGAGAAATGTGGCGGGCAGTGATTCAGTAGGTATCCGTACCGTAAGTGCTATTCAAGCCTTTCAATTTTCTTCATCCTAAGCTCTTCATAATTAAAATGAGTCACCATTTTTGGTTGAACTAAGAAGATGCTGCTTGCTGATTAGGATCGGAGCGACCAATTACCCTTCTGTTCTTCAAAAAAATGTCGTCGGCGATTTCCGTTGTTCAGCTGCCAACATTAGCTGCCGCCGGACGAAGGGAAAAGCTTCAGCAACACCAAGTGGGTGGCCGGCGGGTCAGATTAGGGTTTCGTAGCAGGAAATCAGTAGTGCTGATGATGCAGATCCAATGGCCATGGAGACCCAATTATAATCATAAAACTAGTTTTATTGGCAATGGGAATCCAGTTGCAGTGGGGACTGCAGAAAGTGACGATGAGGGAATCCATCGTAGATTTACAAAGGAAAGTTTGGGGGAGGATGATGATTCGCAAGCTGCCCCTGCCCCTGCCCAGCTCGAAGCTATTCTCAATAGTCTGGTTAGTTAGTTAGTTAGTTAATTCAAATTTTTTATTTATTAATTCTGGGTGTGTTTATTTTGATGAGTTTGCAAAAAAATATTGGTTGAGTTTGGTATGAAAATAATGTCTGATAGGATGGTTTGTGAAAGAAAAAAGTAATTTTTTTTTTTTTAAAAACGTAAAGTTTAAATAGTAAAATTTCGAAAAACCCGACTAAAGAAACATTATTTAATTTACCGAGTATTATTATTAATTTGAAAATATATAATATAATATAAGAGGATGGCTAGCACACCTTGTATATGCAAACAACGTACATTAGTATTGTTATGTTATGTATAATAAAGGTATGTGTTGTTTTTAATAATAACAAGTGAGTTGTATGCAAGTATGTTATGTGCTAAAATCAACTGTTGTATGTGTTGTATGAGACTAGCTGTATTTGTATTATATTAACATATACAATATGTTGTCTATAGTAATATTATGTGTTGTTTGTAGTAATATTATGTATTGTCTGTAGTTATACTGTGTGATGTTGGAACTATAGCATGAGTGTTTTGTTCATGTGTTGTATTTGTATTATAGTAGCATATACAGTGTGTTGTTTATAGCAATATTATGTGTTATCTAATAGCATGTGATGTGCTGTTCAGCACTGTAGCTGCCGCCGTAATATAATTGATATATGGTAATGGTAACGGTGTGCAGAGCAAATGGGTTGTGTCAATAGTGATTGGTGCCATAATTGTGTGGCGCCATGATGCTGAAGCCTTGTGGGCGGCTACCGGTGCAGTTGTAAATACTGTACTATCTATAACGCTTAAGAAGCTATTCAACCAACAAAGACCCGTTTCAACCTTAAGATCCGACCCGGGAATGCCGTCTTCCCACGCCCAATCATTCTTTTATATGCTCACGCTTCTTAATGTCTCAAGTAAGTAACCTATTACTCCCTCCTTTTATTTTCTTTTTTTAAACACAAATTTTACATTTTTATCTTTAATTCATTTATTATTTTTAATCTCTACTGTACAATTAAGTGCAAATTTGTCAATTCATAACAAAAAAAAAAAAACAATTACCTAAAAAACCATGCAAATATACATTAGGACAATAGAAATTGGACGGAGGGAGTATATATTATCAATTATATGTGTATGTATAAAACCTTGCTTTTTGTATTTGACATACATTAATTATTTGATTGCAGTTATGGAGCGATGGGGGATTAACTTATTCACTGCAATTTTATTCACCATGTTCTTCGCCGCTGCCTCATACTTTGTAAGTAATTAGAATAAAAAGAAAAATTAATTGTTTAATCCATTGATTAAGATATATAAGAATTAGGTAATTGAATATAATTTTTTATTTGTTATTATTAATAAATATTATGTTATGTTTTCTTGATCTGTAAATATTTTCAGTCGTGGCTGCGGGTTTCCGAACAATTTCATACCACTAAGCAGGTTATTGTCGGAGCTGTTGTTGGATTGGCTTTCTCCGTTTTGTGGTTCTGGTGGTGGTACGCCTTCGCGGTTCATTCATTCACATCTTTATTGTGGGTCAGAATAATGGTTTCACTTGGTGCAACCATTTATGTGTTTGCTTTTGTTCGTTATATAATTCGTTCAATGTTTCAAGGCAGAGATGGTGTCTTGTAGGATGCTAAGCAAATGGTTTAATTCATTCAAATATTTATTTATTCTACAATTCATAAGTTGGGATATAAACTCAATTATTATGTCGAAAAAAATAAAGAAAGAACTCATTATTTATAATTTAAATATGTCCGAGCTAGGCACAAAACATATAATATCATATTAATATATTGTTGTATCTAAAAGTTCCGGTATTTATTTTTTCAGACGGTTTTTGAAAATTATTCAAAAAATAGATGAAATGTTCCCTAAGATACTTCAGAGAGAGAGATTTGAGGATAAAATATTTTGTATAGGCGGAATTGATAAGGAAATAGATTTAAACAGAAAATCTTCAAGATGAAATTGACTCAAACGGTTTGAAAGGTAAAATTATTATATAAATTAATCAAAAGCACTATAATGTAAAGATGGAATTGTACAAAGAGCTGAAAAATAACATAAAATGAAGGAAGAGATAGAAAAATAAAAATAAAGAAAAATATCGATACTAATACTTACTGATTGCAATAAAACTTTTTGTTACGTCTTACAAAAAATAGCAATAACAATGGTATTTGCTATAAAATTAATTTTGTCACAAATAACATAATATCTGCTTTTTATCAAATACAAAAATCATATAGAAATCTATAAAATGACACCCATCCAACAACATTCCGGCACGGAAATATATAAATGCAATATTGTTCCTGATGACCAAGGCAAATGAGCACCACACACACCCAAAATATCAAACATCCGAAGAATAGAGACATATGCAAAATATTAATTAAGTATAATTGACAATAAGTTATCAATCCAAATACAAACAAATTAATGAGCAGATATGGTTATTGTTGTTGCAGTCTCCGGGGAGGCATTCCGGGACAGTGAAGCAGCTAAAATGAGATGTGAATTTATATTAAAAAAGAAGTAATTAAAAGATTAAATTAAATTCATCTTTATACGTCAAGTCAATAAGATCGATTTGAACTACCTCACGGAAGATACATGCTTCAGCTTTCGTCGAAAGAATTAATGAAATATCTGGGACCGTAACAGATATGAAAAACCTTCACTATGATGATGCTATCATCTTTTTTTTTAATTAAAATAATTCATGATGTCACACAATAATTAACAAATAAACAAGAAAAATAAGTTTAATCATCAATAATGACTCACATTATTACAACACATGAAGGCTATGTTTCTCAAATGTTGAAAGATTTGAAGAGCTTCTCTCTGCTCAACGTGTGAACAACCATGAATATAACAAAGCATATAAAATTGTCAAACTCTTGTAAATCAAGCGGTGAGACATCCCTCGTTTGAAGGTTGAATCTCAGGTTTGATCCTAATTTTTGAAATTAAATGATATATTTTAATTACAAAAATATTTTGTAGTTAAAAATAGTATAATTAATTAGATATATTTTTTTTTATAAGGTTTGTCACGGAAATTTTTAATGATCACAAAATCGCTACAAAAATATCAGTATTTTGGTAGTGGAGGTAGGCGTACCGACACATCATATTATACGAAGGGTGACTGGGAGGGGTGGACCAGATGTGCTTGTACTGTACGGTTACGGTCAGATATGATTAATTGTATCAATGGGTCATGCAGATGCAGTGCAGCAGTGAATGAGTGGCTCAGAGCCGCCGAGAACATGATAAGATAACACGTTTTTTTTATTTTTTATTTTATTTTATTTTTAATAATGTGAGAATTTGAACCGCTATTTGAAAGTGCGCACCGGTAAATCCGATCGAACATAATACCCTGCAAAAGTAACGGTGGACTGCATTCATTTCCTGCAGTTGCTAATCATCCCTTCATGCAAACTTGGTCAATCGGTTCAAATTGTCGATTACGATTACAAATCACTTATTATAGTGTGTCAAATATTAAATTGAAATTGCATTTTTCGAATCACAGTTTTCGAATGACAATTTTGATTGAGATTTGACTATTTTGATTGCGATTTGTAAATTATTGATTTCGATTTAAAGATTGTCGATTATGCTTTAAACCGTTGATTTATATAATCATTTTAGTAATTGTTTTTATTTTTTAGTTTTCTAAATTTATATTTTATTTACAAACGATTAACTTCAATTTCAATTTTATTTAGATATAAGATACTATGTGTCCGTTCAGTCAGAAAGTATACAGTGATTTTTTTGTGAATTTTTTAATATTATTATTATTATATCAAAATATATTCCAGTAAACAAAAAATGACAAAAATACATATGTTAATCTCTTACTAATACAATGATATTTGTGAAGTAAATTATAGAAATATAAAAGATATTTTTAATGTGAAATACAATGATACAAAAATATGTATTTATTTCCTCGTTAGACGAAATAGTATTTGTTTAGTATTTATTTATTGTGTAAAAGTTATCTAAAAAATAATTAATTATATTGTTACAATATAAAAATAACTAACATAATAAATTTAGTAAGTGAATAAATTAAATTTGAATTAAAATAAATAAAAAATAAATTAAAATATTAGTGTATTAGATAAAGATAATTTAAATTAAATATAATTATATAATATAAACGTAAATGATAAATTTACAATTAGTTCTAATCATTCTAAAAAAATTAATTTTAATACAAAACAAATTAATATGAATTAAGTAAATAAAAATTAAGTACAACTAAAATATAATTAATTTTAAATTCATAAAATATTAACACCATATAAAAAATTAATACATTATTTAAAAATATTACTTTATCTTAGATTATCCTTGCAATATATTTTTTTTCTTTTCCACTTTGTTTAGAAGGATTTTTTTGTTCTTTTCTAGCAACTTCATGGTCCAATTAATTTTTTTCTTCCACCAACTTTGTTTTTTCCCAATTCAATCCTCATTGTTTCTTCTTCTTCCCAGCCTTTGGCAAGGGCAATTTATTGTCTACACCATAAAATGGATAAACTTCCACTAAAATAATTCCTTTTTTTTTATTTTTTTATTTTTTTTAATGACGTGAGAACCCGGAGCCGCTACCCGAAAGTGCGCATTTTCACTAAAATAATTCTTTACAATATATAAAGTGCAACAAGAACTAATACTATATGGTCGTCTTTGCCGCTTTACATTTTTAATATATGTTAAATTCGTATATTCTTGAAACTATTTTATTATATATGGATTTTATTGTTGTCTTGTAAAAATATTATTATTATTATTATTTTGTTGTTGTTAAACGTATTTAACAAATATAAATTAATTTAATTTTTAATCTCTTATACACGTAGGATTACTCAAAATTTCTTTATTTATATATCTATCCTTAATAAAAAAAATACTTTTTTATCTATATTTAAAACTCTTTATTTTTTAAATTTTTTTAAAGTTAATTATATTTATTTGTACTATGTAAAATTTTCTTTTGCATCATGGTACGTAACATTGAGAATATATTTATATTTGTATAATATTTTATACAAGTGTCATTATATTAGTATTATAAGACACCAATAGAAGTATTTTTGTCCTTTTCTTTTATTTGTAATACGTTTTGATATAATAATTAATATTTAAAGATAAAAATACACCAAAAGTAAATAAATACTTAGTTACATGATGAATGAAATATATAATTAAAAGAATATAAAATATGTTTAGATATTTTAAACATTAAATCTCAATAAATATATTATTTTGTAGAGAATAAAATTTTATATAGTAGAATTAAATAAAAAAATATTTATTTATTTATTTATAATTAACCTAAATTAATTTTATAAAAAATAAAAATTTTAAATGTAGATAAATTATCTGTTAGAGAGAAGAAATAAAACAGTTTTGAATGATTCTCATATGTAAGATGTTAATTTTAATTAAATTAATTTTATATTTATTTGTTAATTATGTTTAAAATAAATAAATTTAGTAAGAATAGAAACGTGTACTGTTATGGGACAAATTAAAATAAAAAATATGTAGCTGTTATAAATTAATTTTATATTCAAATATTATGGACGTAACAGGATTGACGTGGTAGCTGACATATAACAACACGATTGTATACAATTATACACACCTACGTTGAAATTGTTTGAAATTTTATTGGAATGTAAAATAAATTATTTTGAATATAAAATTAATTTTTAGTATAATATATATAATAGGTATTTAATTGGATGTTTGCAGGAGGAAAAATTTTAGGCAAAATCTAAGAACATACGCGATGAAGTTTTGATATTGGAACAAAAATTAATACATTTTAATTATATTGTGATAATTGTTTGATTTTTTTTTATTCATTTTAACTATATCAACTATTCTAAGTTCATAACATATATTTTCAAAAAAAATATATAACAAAACAAGTGAAATTTTAGACCAAAACATAATAATATATGGTTGTGTGTCAACATGGACGTATATAATTTGTACACAATCATACGATAATATGAATATGTATAATTGTACACGGATGTATTATTTTCAGGTTAGTTGTCATGTCAATCTCGTTACGTCAATGTCAGTAATTTTCATTAGTTTTTTTAATGATGAGGCTAAAATTATTTAAAATTGTTTATATTGAGACTAAAATTGATGAATTTTTGTATTTGGATCAAAATTGATACATTTTGGTTATATTGACACTAAAATTAATTTATTGCACTAAAATATTTGTTTATTGAGGAGGGAGATAGAAATAAAAAGATTTTGAACGAATCTTATATATAAGATAATAAAAGTTTAATTAAATTGATTTATACTTATTAAGTATATTTAAAATTAATAAATTTATTAAGAATAGAAACATGTCAACTGTTATGAAATGAAGGAAATAGTATGAACTACAACGTATAAAAACAATACACAAAGAGAAAGATAAATACACTAATTTTAACCACTTCAGTATAACTTAATAATCCTATGAATCTATACTTGACTAAAACCAAAACACTTTGGAACAAGTTGGTTACTTGGTCTACTTCGAGTTTGCATTTTTGTATCTAATCAAGCACGTACAATCTGAATGTATTAATCACAACTATAAAACTTGCAACAAACTAAGTACAATAAAATGAGAAAA